ACAGGCAAAAATATTGCTGATCTTTTGGCTTGTAACAGTTTGCTATGCCAATAGATTCAAGGTAAATCGCTGTGCAGTCATTAGTAGACTATTTGTGTAACAAAACAAATTTAATACGTCTAACAATCTTATAACACGTGATTTTTATAATGAGTTGAGCTACACAAACTAAATAATCCATTAGAAGAAGAAGAAGAAGAAGAAGAAGAAGAAGAAGAAGAAGAAGAAGAAGAAGAAGAAGAAGAAGAAGAAGAAGAAGAAGTAGACGACGACGATGATGATGATGACTTGCAACAGTAATAATCTCAGAATTTAAAGACTCGGAAACAAGAGCTTTAGGTTTGTGTGTTCATACGTGATTTACTAGGCGCTTACTCTTAGAGGTATTTTGACTTTGATGGGAAACAAAATCATTCCTAAGCTATTGTCTTTTGAAGACCAAATCTACATGGTACTGTTAGAATTTGTTTTTTGTTTTGTTTGTTTTCCCAAGGATAACTTTGAAAATTCTTAAGCAGGATAAACACTAAAAATCAAATAAATTGAACCATTTTACTCAACTGTTATGACTGTATGGTCTTGAACTAAGTAACAGAAAAATGAGAAACCCAACAGGTTTTGTAAAATTCAACAAATAATTTATTTTCCAAGAATGAAAAATGTGAATGGTTTTAAAATACTTACAGTTTTGTTATTAAAATCGCAAATAATTCTAAACGTTTTATCACAAGTCTAAAATTATAGACTATTCCAAATGAATTCCAGTTTTGAACATGTTAATATGTGAGTAGTCTCGGAGGTACCAGTGTTCCAACAGTATTAAAGTATGATAATGATGTAATCCAAAATCTCTTTAAAAATAGTCCGAAAAGTCAAAGAGCACTTTGTATTTCCAATGAATAATTCAAATAAATAAATCCTCTCATACATTAAACGAAACACAACTTAAATTGATTTCTCTAAAATATCGTATTAAGATTAGAATGAGTAATTCTGAAGTAAGCATCATAAATTTAAAACGCTGACACAATAACAGAACTAGGATGAGAGTAGTTATCCCATCAAATTCCTAAACATCCTGCTTATAGAAAAATTTTTAATTTCTAAATAGAGCTAGATATTGAACTCAACATCATAATCTACCCCTAAGTGCATCATGGTGCTATTTGCAATTTGGTCACTTTTTACATTTTATGATAAAATATTTCATAATGGGGATATCTTTCTGTTAAAAAATGTACATTACATTGCAACAATATCTAATAAAACATTTAAATCATAAAATCCATATCTGTATAAAGTTGAAAAAACTCTGTGTACAAAGGTACTATGTGCATTATTTGCATACATCTAGGTTCTATTTGGCAAATATCACCTTGACGCTTTTAACGACTATGCCTTTTTCTACAACATAGTTCGATAGTGGTTTTGTTTCACATAGCCACCTCAGTAAGGTAAACTGACCAGCGTGGTTTCAAATTGCACGTTAATGATGAGGTAAATACCTGGCTTATCAGCCGTGCATTATTTGTTGTAAACTTCTTTTGCTTTATCAGTAAATATATTAATTATTTGTAAATTTCTTTTGCTGTTTCACAGTGGTTATACGATCTAAATGGTTGACTTATAGAATATGTGTCAGATTGGAAGGTCAGTATTAATGAATACCATTTATTTGCATTTTGCTGAATACATTAACTCCTTTCTATTATAGCATAAATAACATACCATAATTGTGTTCAAATAATTTATTTCTAAGTACAACCAATTTGAAATAAAACAATAGTGCATTATCAGATTAATGCATTTCTGATGAATTTAATGATCAATTTTTATTTGCCATGTTTTGACCAAAATATTAACCTAATGTTACAATGTTTGATGTTACAAACATGTATAAGACGCAGAGATGACTTTCTGCACAGACAGTTCAAATAATACTGTTATTAAGGAAATGGACACTAAAACGGAAAATGCAAATGAAAAGCACGACCTAACAGTGGTTCTAAGAATATCATAGATGAGTATGATAGAGAGGATGAACCCTTAACCTTGTTTCAGATAAGAACATGGAGGTGCAACAGACCAAATTTTGTGGTCGATATCTGTTTTGTTATTGTTCATCTCTGTAGGAAACATTTACCTAGATTCGTGTACGATTAACTAGATTTATGTGGAATTGTCGCGTTTAAAAAGCCATAATGTACAGATTGGTTCAGCCAAAGTCAGGAGTTATCGAAATATAATTAAGGGCTTAGTTTTTTTAAACTTACTGGAACGGAGTTCAAGTTATGGTTTGTATTTAAGCTGACAGTTGGGACATTGACAAGAAAACAGTTGGCAACCATCGATGTCTGTTTGAATCCGATAGAATTACATCTGACCTCGAGGCGTGAGACTAATGACTTATTCCTGTATCATGTCACGGAAGATTTAGGCTGCTTTTGTTTATATTTTTACAAGGAACAGAGATAGTTTTTGGAAAGAGAGACGTTTTATAACCCAAACAGAGCGGAAAGTCAAAACGGGAAAAGGCGAGATACCAAGAATTTTGGAAAAAGAAAAGTAAAGCGAAAAATACTTACCAGTACGAGGGAGTCCAGAGAAACAGTCGGAGTGGACCTTTTGGACGGAATCGAATACCAGGTTACGAATTGATATAAGGCAGTATTATTCGATTTTCTCACTCTGTTAAATGATTTGATTCCATGGTAAACAGAATCGGCTAATGTTATAATCTTATTTGCATTGTGAAGTTCCTTAATTAGTTTGGAAAAGAAGAGAATGAAGTGCATCTTTCGAATTGTAACGTTTATATCATTTGATTGTGAGATTTTATTGTTTTTTAAATTTGATTAAATTTTTGTAATGGGGGCTTGAGTTATTCTGTTATATATATCAACTCAGATTATTTATTTATTCCACCCATAAATTCATACTTTGTATTGACCTTACTCGATACCGGGCAAATTACGCCGTTGGCGATCACCTCTAGATACGCAAGCCAAAGCCAGTAAACCCGCCACAAATAACTTGAGGAGGGGTTTACCGCAGGGGGATTCTTGAAAGAAGACCAGTATGATGATACGGATGATAAAAGTAACGACAAGGATTGCCAATGATAATTTCAATTCATCTAATTCAAACGTGTCAGGGTCTTTAAACAGTGAATTAAAGGCTGATCAAAAATAAGCATGGAAGAAAAAAGACAGGAAAATCAATCAAGAAAAAAACCCCGTAAAAATCCAATCACACACATTTACCTTCACGAGATCAGAAAGAAAAAAGAAATTAAAGGCACATCATTAAAGGTAATACAAACACTAACTTAACAAAAGAGAGGCTAAACCCTTAAGAAAATCGCTAAGCTGAAGAGCGAAAGATTTCACGAGTTGAAACAAGTTATCAGAAATCAACATATTATTTGACTTGACAACTTGTTTTCTTGCAATGGATATAAGCATGTTTCTGTTAGTGCTGATGCAGATTGCTTCTTTGCAGTACTTAAACTTCAAATGCGGCAAGATCTATCGTTTTGAAAGTTTCGTACAACATTATATCATTTTTTGTATAGGATAATGGATCTTCAGAGGACAGGATAATGTAGTTTGCTCATGAAGTTGAATCAGTCAAAGAATAGGGACAATAGAACACATGTATTACTGACAGTATGGCATTGGATACAAGACATTTACTAATAAAAACTAAATAAACATATTCTCAAGTGAGATTTCTAATGATGTTTATGACATAAATCCAGACATGACTTGACAACACTATGACCAAACGTCGTACATTTATTTAGCATGCCTGAAGATCAAAGGTGAAAAGCAATATGACGGAGTGTATAACAGTACATAAAGAGGAAACACTACTGGCAAAGGAAACAATACTGTCAAAGAAAACACTACTCCCAAATAAACCACTACTGGCAAAGAAACACTACTGGCAAAGGAAACACTACTGGCAAAGAAAACACTACTGGCAAAGAAACACTACTGGCAAAGGAAACACTACTGGCAAAGGACTACTGGCAAAAAAAACAGTACTGGCAAAGAAACACTACTGGCAAAGGAAACACTACTGTCAAAAGGACTACTGGCAAAGAAAACACTACTGGCAAAGGAAACACTACTGTCAAAGGACTACTGGCAAAGAAAACACTACTGGCAAAGAAACACTACTGGCAAAGGAAATACTACTGTAAAATAAAATAATATTGTCAAAGGAAATACTACTAACACTTTGCAAAAGCCAGCTAAAGCAAAGCTGTGTGGTTGGCATGGTGATTTAACACCACGTAAAGAGGCATCATATGTAAGCCCAAAACCTAATGAATCTTTTCGAAAGAGAAGAGTAACACCATGGATATGGAAAATATATATTCGGAAAAGACCCTCCAGAAAATGACTTCATGTTCATGAAATATGCATACTTTATTGTTTCAACTATGCAAGGTTTTTAAAGATGTTTCTTGCCAGCACCAGAAATACACGAATACAAAATTGTCTGGATAAAGGTAGAGGGAACATCCCCAGGAACTATGATTCTTAACGAAACATTTGATGAAAATGTCTTCATGGAAATTAAAGCTTTTAAAGTATACTCTCAAGGAACCAACTGCCAAACTTACAAGTACAATGTGAATTGTAAGCATGCTACACCAAGAAAATACCAATATCGAACAATAAGAAAACATATCTAATATCCATTTGCTATTGAGTTCGTTTCTGAAGAATTTCATCCATATTACAAAAGGAATACTAGCAACAAAACATAAAAAATGGTATTCTAATTGTATTTGTTTCAGAACGTGAATATGAAAATGACGATAAAATACGTGATCTGTGACTGAAGTGTATCAGTGGCTTTTAAAGGTAGTAATTCTAAAGATAGTTACTCTTGTAAATAACTGTTCTAGAAGTGTATGATAAGTAGTGTAATCTTTCATCCTAAGTACACACTATAACATTTTTTGAACTATACATATTATTGTGACCGCTGTGGTGGCCTAGTGGTTAGAGCATCTGTCTCAGATTAGGGAAGTCGCGGGTTCGAACACCGGCCGATTCATACCAAAGACATAAAAATAGCAATAACATAAGAGGTTAGTGTTATGACTGTTCGGCTTGCTATCAGTATAATGTGACTGGGGGGCATCATGCTACATGTCTGCGGCATCATGCCCCAGTGCTAGACATCACTATAAAGTTATTTTAAAAACCCAACACACACACACACACACACACACACACACACACACACACACACATACAAACACACACTTTATTATAGCACTAATCTTTAAATAAAAACAGTAGTTTAAAGCTTGGAAGTTGTTTGAAGGTTGCATATTAAATCCACAGGTACTCGACGCGACCCGTTCTGACATTGGACCCTCTGTGTAATACTATATAAGAGACTCATATAGTATTACAGAAAGGGTCCAATGTCAGAACGGGTCGCGTCGAGTACCTGTGATTAAATCATGTACAAAACTAATAATTTAGCAATATTACATATCAAACCTTCATAGTCGATGAATTATTGTATTGCATAAGAGTCTATTTGATAAGGACATACTTTTTATAGTAAGACGTTTGTAAGAATCAAGGTGCCATGCGCCAAATAGGCCTTGACACTCACAAGGTTTCATATATCGTATTTATATAAATCAATGTTTTATTTGACAAAAGGGACATAACTTCTAAATATATGAGAGTCTCAATATCAGTATAGCACCATATTGTTTAAATTGGTGAAAGATACAAAATGCATATATAGATACTACTTATATCACTTACATAAAGAGTGTAAATCTTTAAACAACATTTTTCTATAAAATCTTAAATCTACAGATAGCACCTTGTTGCACTAAGTGGTTACTTTAAGCATGTTTACCTCCAAGTAATACTGATCTTTAAATATAATCTCAACTAAATGACAAGTTTTGGCTATGTAATAGGTGCTTACCCTCACCCAACCCAACATAATAATGCTTTAGTAGGCCCAACTCCTATCCTAATTTATGGATAAAGGTCAAACACACAATGCAAATTAAATATACATAACGTTTAAGCAAGGACAAAAGCGAACACCATACAAATTAAATATAAATAACGCCAAATTGGTATGTTGTAATGGATACGTCTGGCTTATCATACCTGGGCGAGGTTTGTTTGTACCTTTTTGATTTCTGCAGGACAATCATAGCACATAACAGCCTGCAGTTCTAAAACACTTTCCTTGATCAACCAATGTGTGTGTGTGTGTGTGTGTGTGTGTGTGTGTGTGTGTGTGTGTTTTGAGCATTAAAGAAAAACGTGAAGTGAGAATCAAAAGGTCAAAAGTTAAGGTAAAGTTTACACAATCCCACTAAACATATTTTCTACAAAGTAATTTTTGAATTTTAACCACATGGCTGCACCAAATTTGTGGATAGCTTGCTGAGATGGCAAGAAGTAAGCCATACATGGTGGTGCCAAAAACTCAGAGTTGAAAGTCATAGCAAATAGAGGACGTGAAAATCGTTTGCATCGTGATATCGTTTAATACAAATCTTCTCAAGCCCTTTAACAAATTTCATTAAGATTTGCACTTCGCGTCTGCAAATGCACATATTGCACTCCTCGTTAAGGGTCTTGATATTCTCCAACAACATTCGATACCGTCCGGATTTAGGCACATTTTCGACATTAGATGTGCCTGGAAATTCGGGAAACTATATATACAAAGGTCTTTAGCACCAGTGGGTGCATTATGTAGAGTTGCACATTATCATTATTATTATTATTATTATTATTATTATTATTATTATTATTATTATTATTATTATTATTATTATTATTATTATTATTATTATTGGTAAGATATAAAAACCAGGTGGGGGACTTACATCAGTTTTTTTTTTCATTGTTATTAAGCATGTAATACATAAATCTCAAATTTTAATGCATGTTTTGCTGTCCATTTGTTCATAACAGGCAAAATCCCGCCAGACTCGGCGAGGCGAGCTCAACTTTACCTGAAACGTGACGAACTAGCTGAGAAGTGACGAATTACATTCCTGCATTGACTCACCTGTAAAACAGTGCGCAACTGCGCATGCGCTAAATGCTAAAATTTAATGGCGAGTATGTTTACAGGTCGAGAACCCGTTTTCATATGTAGGGAAACGATGTAAAAATCGACAAAAATCAATAAGCTTTCTAATTTCAAAAGGTGTACGTACACACAGATAGCTACTTTTACAACAGGTAAGTTGGCTCTACTTTTTGATCCCAGATCAACAGGTGTGATACACCTGAGTTTCTTTTAAAAGCGTAAAACTCAGCCATTTTCTTTTGACAATCTCCGGAAATGCTCTTCAAAAAGCAAAGTTATTTTGTAGAAGTTTGCAGAAGTAAAAGCTTCTGCGAAACTGTATTAATTAAAAGAAATAATTCCGGTTTCAGTTCCTATGTTTATACAACACAATTTTTCAAATATGGCATTTGCCCACAACCTATCAACAAAAAAAATCTGATACAAAAATTGTCTCCCTTAGCATTGAGTCACCGGTACACCAGTAACAGAATTTGTTGACTTGGGGTACCGAGGAAAGTATGACAGTCCGTGTAATAAAAATAAAAATGTAAATAAAATAAGAAAGATGACATCTCCATGTATCCTGTGCATTCAGTTTATACCCATGGGATATTTCAAACTAGATGTAAATAACATTGCAATATTCTATTGAGTCATACCAAAGACTTATAAAAAAAAAATGTTACTAACAGCCGCCTCACTTGGCGCTCAGCATTAAGGGGTTAGTGTTAGGACTGGTGTCAGGATAATGTGACTGGGTGTGACATGAAGCTACATGTCGTGTCATAATACCCTAGTATTTTCACTTCTCCCAAAATTTGATTCTCTTCCCTTGGTTTAGCAAGATGTATATATTTTAAATTAAAAACAAAGAAAAAAGTGCAACATAATTATTACTTCAAAGTGCTTAGTATTTTTTTTTTTACTGTCTCGTTAGCTTTTATATACTATTTGGTGCTTCAGTATTGTAGCATGAATGCTTCCATCAGTCAGAATGGAAATTAATTTAATGGAATTCATACTTTCTCTTACTTGTTCTCTTAAAACTCAATTGACAGAATAAAGTCTTGCTCTAAGTTAGTTCTTAAAATTCACACTAGGTTCAAGTCTGTTCTTCTTCTGGGGTCCAGTATTACTACCATGCCACAATATGGTTTTCCATATTGGGTAAGGGTGTTGGTAGTCCTATAATATAAGACATCTGCCTTGATGTTAATGTTGCTTGAGTCAGCATCTTACTTACAAAATAAATGGCCTGTATGAACTGATTCAAAGACAGTAACAAGTCCTTAATTTAATTCTCATTTAACTTAAAATCACCATTCCTTGTGAAGTGTAAGCGACTCAGACTTCAGAAATTTTCTGCACATGCATGCTTGTAGTATACATAATGTGGACATAGGAGGTCAGAAACCACGTGACTTGATTGGATTAATCCTGAATTCTTTCCTTCCAATGAAAAATATACTGCCTGAATTTCCAACCTGTGCCAGTTTAGAAGATTGTTCACAATAACTGCAAATCATACTTTGTTCAGTGCCAATAAGTTTAAGCTATGGATAATTATCAACTCAGTATGACTAAAAATTTAATTGTCTCTTGTTACATGTTTGGCATTTTTGCTGACAGAGAGTCTGGCTTATGTGTTTTTAAAGGAATAATTAGCTCAGACTTGCATTGTCTCTCTCCATTTGCACATAAAAAAAACTTCTATGAATCTTCCTGATGACATTGCAAAAATTAATAAACTCATCATATGTCAACAATTTCTTCATAAGTGATCATAATATACATAATTTAAGTTAAATGTAAATACAGACAGCTGCTTTACTGTAATTGTTTTGCTTTAAATTTGACACTGCACACATGAAGTCAATGATCTTTGTAAGGGCCCCCACCCAAATGTGTGCATTTCCAGTTTGCACTGGTTTTAAAATTAATGTAGGAATTCTATTTCTTTAAATAAACATCACATATTTTATGATGATTAGTATATATAATGAAATAAGTGATTCAAGAAATTGACAAAACTATCATAATTAGTTGGTCAACTCAGTTTCGATTATTATTATTATTATTATTATTATTATTATTATTATTATTATTCTTTTGAAAATTTTGACAAACGGGGGAGGGGAAGTGCTACGGTCAGGAATGAAAAACAGGGATGGTCAGCCAACCGCCTAATCAATTAATAAGGACTCATTACTGTTTAATTAGTCAATAAAGTAATTTATACTTTTGCTGATAAATCACCTTTCATTAATTTTATTACACTGACTTGGTGGATTGAAATTAAAGGTTGATCTACTCATGAGTATCCATTGAGTAAACACAACATAAAAAATGTTTGAAGCACCACTATCATGTTGAAATTGTTTGTTTGAGGTGTTTGATTGGCTGATAATTTGATTGCTTCACCCAATATGTATTCTAACAGTAATAGAACTTATGCTCATGCAACAGTTATCAGTGACTACTAACTGTAGTATTACTGGATGTGAATGAATAAATGGGGGTACATGTAGAATCAAGTATTCAGCATGTCCAGAGGGCATGAAAGACAGGTAAAGGTAAATGAAGGCATGAAAGTCAGGTAAAGGTAGATGAGGGCATGAGAGCCAGGTAAAGGTAGATGAGGGCATGAAAGCCAGGTAAAGGTAGATGATGGCATGAAAGCCAGGTAAAGGTAGATGAGGGCATGAAAGCCAGGTAAAGGTAGATGAGGGCATGAGAGCCAGGTAAAGGTAGATGAGGGCATGAAAGCCAGGTAAAGGTAGATGAGAGCATGAAAGCCAGGTAAAGGTAGATGAAGGCATGAAAGCCAGGTAAAGGTAGATGAAGGCATGAAAGCCAGGTAAAGGTAGATGAGGACATGAAAGCCAGGAATAGGTAGATGATGGCATGAAAGCCAGATAAAGGTAGATGAGATTATTTTAATATGAAAATTAGCACTTGCCTGGCTTGTCTTAAAATAGCAAAACGATCACTT